TGACATGATTAGGGAAGCATTTCTAGTTTGGCTAAGTCGCACTCTTGGAATATCAAATAGGTATTTGTTTCTGGTGTGATGCCCATGGGTTATAACCTTCTAGGAAACTTTTAAGGTCAGGATTGACATTGCAGTTCAGAGTTTTAAATATGTAGAGTACACACGAGAGGATGTGCAGTGACTTAATATCTAATAAATTCAAAGATTTGAGTAAGGTTGTCTCAACATGTCTAACATATTCAAAGATTTGAGTAAACAGTGCTTCCTCTTAATTTTGATTCATAGTTCGAGTTTTTGTAATTTACACATGATATATTAATAAATATATTATAGCTTTTTTAGTCGATAATGAATGTCAATAATGTTTGTAAAGTGTCCAGAAACTGGTACCTATATGTATTATTATTCAAACAGGAGCAAATTTATAAACATCGGTGTTCCACAGGGCAGCATACTTGGCCCTCTCCTCTTTCTCATCTACATTAATGATCTTCCAAATGCCTCGCAACACCTCACACCAATCTTATTTGCTGATGACACAACTTTCATCTTCTCCAGTCCTGACCCTCTTGCTCTAAATGCCACAGTGAATACTGAACTAAATGAAGTCCATCTTTGGCTAACTGCTAACAAACTCACCCTTAAGATTGACAAAACTTTCTATATTTTGTTTGGTAATAAATCCTCAAATGAAATTAATTTAAGAATAAACAATATACAGTACAAATCAGTAGTAAAGTTGTTGGTAAATTCCTTGGTGTCCTCATCGATAACAAGCTGAATTTCCAGGGACACATTCTAAATATAGCAAAAAAACTAGCGTTGAATGTAATGAAACGCCATTTTCTGGGTGAGTCCCGGAGGCTCCCCGGAGCTATCCCTGATATGCCCGGCTTTGCGTAATAGTGGCTTTAGGCATTGTAACTAGTCAGTTAAACAACTGTATGTATGCTAAATAAAATTGTATTGTATTGTATTGTATTGTATATCAGTCAGACTTTGGTGTATGGAGTTCTTAGGCCTACCGGGGACCACGGCCAGAACCGGGCCCCCTCAGAGGGGCAAGGGGAGCAATGGCCTATAGAAGCTCCAGTGTGGTTGGAAGCATTCTATGTCTGCCATCGACTGGAACAGGCACCCAGAAAGGTAAGCGCCTCAAAACAAACCCCTATTCTGGTTAAAATTGCTACCAAAAGCCGAACTAGTGGATAGAACTCCCCAACAAAAAACAAGCAAACTAGTGTGACGTCACACACCGCCGCGTCGCTGTCTGCCCAGCTCCCCCCTCCCTGGGAGGGGGAAGGGGGAGCCCCAGACCCTCCACACCTCAGTTCCTGAGGCTGGATGTCAAAAACGCGAAAAAAAACGCCGACCAGAGGGAGGGAGGGATGCCGGGGAGCCTCCAGGACTCACCCAGAAAATGGCGTTTCATTACATTCAACGCTGGTTTTCTGGGGGGAGCCCCGTCGGCTCCCCGGAGCCAACTACCCACAGACGGAAAAAGAGGGACTTACCTGGGAGGCGGTTGTCGCTCACTCCTCAACTCAAAGCTGAGACAACTGGCTGCAACCGCCGACCCAAAGCAACACAGGCCCAATGGGGCCCAGGGACATTCACAAGGTAACGAGCAGCCAGGACCCTGTTCGACCGCCAAAATCCCTGCACCCGAATATCAGACCAAAACATATTCCCAAAGACGGCAGCAAGAGCCGCGAACTTACGAACGTCATGGGCACGGGGATAGACCGCAGGATGGGTGGACTTAATAACCCTGCGGACAACCTGGGAGACCCGAACCCGCAAACAGGAAGAAGGGAAACCGGATCAACCCACAGCGCGTCCCAGGACACAGAGCCGTGGCGTGCAAATAACGGCGAAGCGCCGCAACCAGACACAAAACATGATGCATCCCCGGCCTGACCAACCAAGCATTAACCACCCACCGACCCCTCCGGAACGCAGCAGTCTCATTCTTTGCCAGAAAAAAAAGGAGACGGCTGCAAGCGAACAAAACAATCTCCATGACCAAAAGAGCAGAAACCCCTGCGCTGGAGGAGAGCATGAAGCTCCCCTACCTGACCCCCAGAGGCCAAAGCCAACAAGAAAAGAGCCTTGGAAAAACAATCCTGGATCGAAGGGGCCACAACGAAACAAGGAGACGAAAGTAAAGCGAGCACTCTGTCCAAAGACCAGGACGGCTCAGGCGGCGCATGAGCAGGCCGGAGGTGAAACAATGCACGAGACAGCTTGCGAAACAGCGCAGACGTAACATCGATACCGAAGGCAAGCTGAAGCGGCTCCGCCAGCGCCGCACGATACGAGGCGACAGTGTTTGGCATAAGATGATGGTCCTGAAACAACCACGAGAGGAAGGACAAGACCACCCGAACTTCTATAGCTGTACCCCAGGGACGTGTACACTCACGGGGACCTAGCAGGGGGCACTACTGAGGAGAACCGTGGAAGGGCAAAAACTAATGTAATAATAGGACAGAACCCCCCCCCCCCCCACCAGGCAAAAAGAAAAAGAAAAACAAAACCCCGCAAGAGGACTGCGAACCCCAAGGAACAGAGCCAGCCGCTATGTCGGGAATACAAGCTGTGCAGCACCCTGCGCCCCTACCAGTGCAAACTGCCTCTTACCTGCCGGTAACAAGGGAGAACAGAACATCCAAGAGCCCAACAGGCGGCCGAAAAACCGAAAAGGTAAAACGGACCAACAGAGGCAGACCCCGAGGAGCCTGTGAAAGGTGGCCCCAAGGGCAGTACTTACAGGGCACCTAGGGAAGGAAGCCCTAGGCACATGTAGCCTGAGTATTGAAGATAACTCCTGGCTCTCGCACCAAACAAAAACAAACACCACACGCAAAGCACAGTGCTGTAGCGACACTGGAGCCAGAGCACACGACCTTCACCTATAGCATCAGCCTCAAGAACTGAGGTGTGGGTAGCCGGCGTGGAGGGTCTGGGACTCCCCCTTCCCCCTCCCGGGGAGGGGAGAGCTGCGCAGACAGCGGCACGGTGGCGTGTGACGTCACACTAGTTTACTTGTTTTCTGTTGGGGAGTTCTATTCACTAGTTCGGCTTTTGGTAGCAATTTTAACCAGAATAGGGGTTTGTTTTGAGCCACTTACCTTTCTGGGTGCCTGTTCCGGTCGATGGCAGACATAGAATGCTTCCAACCACACCGGGGCTTCTATAGGCCATTGCTCCCCTTGCCTCTCTGAGGGGGCCCAGTTCTGGCCGTGGTCCCCGGTAGGCCTAAGAACTCCATACACATGACTGATGCCAAAGTCTGACATTAGCATATCAGCCTGGGATAGCTTCGGGGAGCCGACGGGGCTCCCCCCAGAAAAGTTTCTAAAACTGTTGGCATCTTACTAAGATCAGATATTATGTTCCTCGCCCTGCCCTGGTGACGCTCTATTACTCTCTCATCTATCCTTATCTCAACTATGGTATTTGTGCTTGGGGTTCTACTACCCAAAATCATTTACGTCCTCTAATTAGCCAACACAAAGCTGCTATTAGAAAAATATCTAACTCTGGCCCCAGACAGCACTCGGTACCCTTACTCAAATTTCTGAATATGTTAGATATTAAGTTACTGTACACCCTCTCTTGTGTACTCTATACTGTATATTTAAAACTCTGAATTGTAATGTCTATCCTGACCGTCAACGCTTCCTAGAAGGTTGTAACAGAACTCATGTGCACCACACCAGAAACAAATACCTATTTGATATTCCAAGAGTTAGACTTAATCATACTAGACATCTTTGTAGTTTCCTACACTGAGCTTTAAATTTGCTCTGTATCTAATGTTACCCAATCTCCCAATCTTTATGTACTTACTCCAAACAACTTTATCATTGTGTTCATTGCTGTCTTCTTTTATGTGCTAGCCATATGCTGTATTGTGCCTATTATTTTTGTTAAACTACCATTCAAGCTGTCATTGCAATCAATCTGAGCTACCTATGTGCTTTAATATACTTACAAATTTCTTTCATCTTTTATTTTTTTCTTGCTACGTAACTTTTATCATTTTTATAAATTTTGCAAATATTTACCTACTTAAAATTTTCTTAGATTAAGGACCTGCCCGAAACGCTGCGCGTACTAGTGGATTTACAAGAATGTAATTACTATGCTATGTATCCTCACAATCCCAATGTACCTTCTTGTATATATATATAAATAAATAAATAAAATAAATAAATAATAAATACTAGGAATGCTCTACAAATCAAGGGACCTAGAATGTGGAATGACCTTCCCAATTATGTCAAAGATTGTACCTCCCTCAACCAGTTTAAGATGAAAACTAAGTACTACCTAATTAACTCCATGTAACCTACCTTACTTCTAAATGTCAACCCATGTCTTACTATTTAAAAAAAAAAATGCTGTTTGTTGACCAACTTGCATACTGTATTGGCTATTTTCTACCATGTTCCCCCCTTTTTTTTATCTTTTATTATTTTTTTCATTCAACACAATTTATACTTTAAGCTCAATTACTATTAAGTTTTGGTCTAAGTGTTTTTTTTCCCCACCGGGGGAGCCGGTCGGCCGAGTGGACAGCACGCTGGACTTGTGATCCTGTGGTCCCGGGTTCGATCCCGGGCACCGGTGAGAAACAATGGACAGAGTTTCTTTCACCCTATGCCCCTGTTACCAAGCAGTAAAATAGGTACCTGGGTGTTAGTCAGCTGTCACGGGCTGCTTCCTGGGGGTGGAGGCCTGGTCGAGGACCGGGCCGCGGGGACACTAAACAGCCCCAAAATCATCTCAAGATAACCTCTCCTTGCCCAAAACGCTATGCGTACTAGTGGCTTTAGGTATTGTATGTACTACCTCTATCTTTAAATCTAACAGAATGTTTGTATTGTAACTCTGCAACTATGTATGCACTGTTCCTAAATAAATTATTATTATTATTATAATTATAGCTACAATAAACATATGAATGTACTGTAGCATATGGATAAACTTACCAAATGCAGTTACAACCCCCCATCCTGCCAGGAATGCCACAAATAGCAGCAAACACAGTATGTCTGTGCACGATCTCTTCTTGATGGGCCCAGTGAATTGAGCATCATATTGGAGTGCCTCTCCTGAGAACAAAAATTTCATAATTAGAAAAGTTTTTCCAAGTATTGTATTAAAATAGAATGCAATATTATGCAAAAACAACATATTAAAAGCAAGCATATATCTCTATCTTTTAGAATAGAAGTTAGATTATTTTTCAAAATTGTTATCCTGATTTCTGCACTATTCTGTAGCCAACACTTATACTATACTCCCAAGTGGTATGCAGGTATGCTGTTATATTCAAACCACTGCAGGAGTGTTAGGTACAGTATAGTGAGCAATTTGGATAATGGGAAAGTTTTAAAAATTTGTGAAAGGTAGCAGTTGCATAAATCCATGAAATAGTGTAAATCACAAGGGTATAATGTATTTTGCTATTTATTTTATGAAGAATTTCATAATTTATTCTGCATATTAATAATTAATAAATACATACTACATTAAAGAATTTATTTTAATTGGCATGAAATTGTTTGTTTAAATATTCAGATATTTATATTATAAATATTATTTAAGTATTCAGAGAGGAAATGCCTGCTATATCTTGAAACCTTGAAACCTAACCTAACCATGGATAAATGAAACCTAACTTAATCATGGATAAATGAAACCTAACCTAACCATGGATAAATGAAACCTAACCTATCTATGAATAGAGTAGATAATAGCATTATGTAGTCGTTACTAATCCATTCCCTTGAGTGGCTCTCCTCCCTGTCCCTGAGGACAGGTTGCAGCAATAGAGCAAAGTAAGCTCAGGAATTTTTACACCAGTTGATTGACGTTGATGACTAAAGAGTTGCAACCGAAGAGCCAAAGCTCAACCTCCCCCCCCCCCCAAGCACAACTAGGTGAGTACAACTAGCCGTGTGTTAGTGGCCCTCAGATAAAATCAGGAAATTTGGGTTTCAGTTGCTGACCCCATTATGTGCTGCTGTAACGTTCTCCACGTCTGGTATGGGGTGCAAAGATATGAACAATGAACAGAAATGAAATGAACAACTGCTTATAAGGAGCCCAAGATTATTGATGTACTATATGAGGCTTATGGGATAGAATCCACAGGCTGATTGGTCCAGGGTTCGATTCCTGGACAAGGTTAGGTGTTCCTTCCACCTGATGCTGCTGGTCACCTTGTAACTAATACTGTAGGTACCTATAGGATCTGTATAGTCAATAGTTGTTGTTTGCATCCTACAGAATGTCTAGCCTTTGGCTTGGGGAACCTTAATAGGCCTAGCAGGCTTCTTGTCCCCGAGAATGGGAACCACCATAGGTACAAGTGCCTATAAATATAGCTTCAGAGGATGTTATAATCATGTCGTGAGGAGTTGGGTGTCACAAGTGATGTGTAAATTACAAAATATATACAGTACAGTAGTTTGGTACATAAATACATCTAAAATGTAAATGCCTATAGTTACAGTTATACACCTCACCCCCACGCCCTTACTACTGCACTTCAACAGGGGTCCCAGAGGAATGTTGTGAGGCTATTGTTAACAGTGATCTATAGGCCTATACATACCTAGCTTGTTCATCTGGGGGTTTGCCCAAACTTTCTTCTTTCCCCAGAACTTGACCTGCTAATTGCCAAGAATCTACAGCGCATCGTATAAGCCTTTTGACTGATATTACAACCACATCCTTAAAGACAGGCGGGGATACTCTCGGTTATCGCAAGCTCTCCCTGCCCCATGGGGAAAGAAAACGGGGGTCTCATCACTTTTGTAAATAACAACATTCCCGCACAGATTATTATTATTATTATTATTTTTTTTTTGAGATATATACAAGAGTTGTTACATTCTTGTACAGCCACTAGTACGCGTAGCGTTTCGGGCAGGTCCCTGGAATACGATCCCCTGCCGCGAAGAATCGTTTTTTCATCCAAGTACACATTTTACTGTTGCGTTAAACAGAGGCTACAGTTAAGGAATTGCGCCCAGTAAATCCTCCCCGGCCAGGATACGAACCCATGACATAGCGCTCGCGGAACGCCAGGCGAGTGTCTTACCACTACACCACGGAGACTGTTTTGATGACCTGCACATGGGGGATGAGTTTGAATCACTGGGAGTAACCCTTCACTTAAACAATAATGCCCTACATATAATCAACCTATATGTGCCACAGAGTAAACTTGACCTTGACACACTGCCTGAATTTGTTAATGAAGAACCTACCCTGCTGGTCGGTGACCTTAATGCCAGACACCCACACTTTGGTGCCAACTGTCATCAGCCCAATGTCAATGGACGGAAACTGTCACTCTTTGTCAGGGGAAGTGAAAACCTTAGAGTCCTGGGTGATGAACAGCCAACTCACCTCAGAGGAGGAAGACTAGACTATGCTCTCCTGCTGAATGCACAGGACACGGATGCCAGTACACACATTGTGCAGTTTATGTAGTGACCATTGGGCACTGATTACCACCGTCGACGTGAGCAAGAGAAGGAAAGAGACGAATAAAAGAAAAAGGTTATCACTCGGACCAGATATGAGGCCGCACTTCATAAACAGCATGAGTGACTGGTTCACGGAATACCAAATCCCAGAAGACATTGACACATTTGTTGATGACCTTAATCATCAAATTGAGAGCTGTCTAAGAGTTCCGCGCCGTACGCCTGGGCGAATTAACCCTCAGAGGAAGAAAATAAAATGGTATGAGAATGATTACATAAAGATGCTTAACGCAAATGTGCGAGACATGAGTAGAGAGTACCGGAGACATCCCACTGAAAGTAACCAAGAGTGAAGATATCCTCACAGTATACCCAAAATTTGCCTGTGCAGGCTATTAAACACATGGCTCTGTATGACTAACCATCCTGCGAGATGGGGACTTGTATTACCACTGTTACCTTATTCAATCTTGTGTTGTTGATATCCTCAAAATGCATCCGGAGTCTGCCAGTGCAGACCGCTTATCACATGCCTCTGTATGACTAACCATCCTGTGTGATGGGGATTTTTTAGCATCACCTAGTTAGCTTTTTTGACACACTGTACTCCACTTCATATAGTCTAGGGTAGCTGCACTAATGCAGATGTACCTAATATGTTAATAAAAAAAAAAAAGTTATTTAAAACTGTGTGTCAAGTAGCCAGGGAAGAGAAGATTAAAGAGCGGGAAAGACAATGGCTTGAGTTCACTAGCTCTATTGGACGGGAAACATCTGCAAGATAAATGTGGGCAAAAATTCAGATAGCTAAGGGGGGGGGGGGGGCAGAGCCCGGCCTGCGGCGCACAAAGACCCCCAGGGTAAGGCTGAAGAACTAATTCACAAGTGGAGTGATGCAGCATCCTCCTCTTCCCTCCCTGAAGAAATCAGCAGGGAACAGCTCCTGCGACATGATGACAGAAGGATTAGGATAACAAGAGCACTGTCTAGTGATGACGAGTATGGGCAACCAATCACAGCCCAAGAAGTAAGGGGCGCTATGAAAAAGGGTAAAAGTACAGCACCTGGTGAAGATGGCATCACCTACGACATACTCAATGCACTGTGTGAAGTGTCTGGGAATCCACTACTCCACCTGTTTAACAAGTCATTCCTAAGTGGAGTGTTGCCCACACACTGGAAACACGCAATAATTGTTCCCATACCGAAGCTCAATGATCCTGGTAATTACAGACCTATCAGTCTCGCGTCATGAACTTGCAAGATGCTTGAAAGGATCATCCTAAACCGACTGTTGCACAAAATAGGCAGGTTAGGGCAGGGGGTCAATGGATTTGTTAAAGGACGGAGCACAGCAAATTGTATAGTTAATTACTTGGCTAATGACACGGCTAGGTATTTGTTAACATCAAAGGAGCCTTCGACAAAGCACAGGGGATTGCGATCCTGGACGAGATTGCATGCATAGGTGTCAAGGGGAGACTCATGAAATGGATGGAAGACTACCTCACAGGAAGGAAAGCCAAGGTTTGCTTCAATGGAGCAGTCTCCAGAACAATGAATATGGAACTCGGGACCCCCCAAGGCAGAGTCTTAAGCCCTACACTATTCGGAGGCAAAGAGACAGAGAAGGAAAGCCGGGAGCCAGGAAGACCCAGAATCGGACTTCGTTTGTGCTCACTGCCATCTCATTGGCCTCATCAGTACAGGATTACTAGGGCGCAACTCCATAGTCTCCCGAGACATCAATGCTTATGAACGCCATTGCAAATATTGATTTTCCAGAAGGAACACAACAAGTGGGATATGCAGATGATGTCCTAATACAAGCTCCCACCTTGGGAAAAATTGAACAGTCCATTGAACTCCTTGGAAGGAAATGTATTGAGCTCGGTTTCACACTCTCCACAAACAAGACGAAGGCATACTCCCATCACAAGCGGAGAGCAAATGAAGAACTGCAAATTAATGGTGTAACACTTGAATGGGTTGACCGCTATCGGTATCTTGGCGTCACTGTCGGCTCTAACAAGGGGAAGAAAGAGGAGCTCAATCAACTCATAGGAACATGCAAAAGTCGACTCAGGGCACTGAAAGCTATGACCTGGAATGACCATGGAGCCTCTATTGCCGTGCTTAAAATGATGTACACAGCCTATGTGCGCTCCGTCATAGACTATGCCGCACCAGTTCTGTGTAATTACCTAAGTGTAGTTACAGGATGAGAGCTACGCTCGTGGTGTCCCGTCTTCCCAGCACTCTTTGTCATATAACGCTTTGAAACTACTGACGGTCTTGGCCTCCACCACCTTCTCCCTTAACTTGTTCCAACCGTCTACCACTCTGTTTGCGAAAGTGAATTTTCTTATATTTCTTCGGCATCTGTGTTTAGCTAGTTTATATCTATGACCTCTTGTTCTTAAAGTTCCAGGTCTCAGGAAATCTTCCCAATCGATTTTATCAATTCCTGTTACTATTTTGTATGTAGTGATCATATCACCTCTTTTTCTTCTGTCTTCTAGTTTTGGCATATTTAATGCCTCTAACCTCTCCTCGTAGCTCTTGCCCTTCAGTTCTGGGAGCCACTTAGTAGCATGTCTTTGCACCTTTTC